AATTAAACTAATAAAATAAATAATTGATATATATATCATACATATACATTATACATTCGAATCAAATTGAATCAGTGTCTATTTGAATCTTTGCCCCATGAACCAAGTGAACAATCATCAGAATCAAATAGTAACTCGTGGTAACAGGAACAGGTGTCCTATTCCTGGCATACTGTACAACATGAATACAATGGAGAGTTTCCATGCCCTTGATAAACAGAGCTTGCTCAAGGCATAAGCGAAGAAGGTATTCAGATTTTAATTTTCATTTGTCACTTCAGTCTTTTCTTTCTTTTGTTCTTTCACTTCTCAACTATTATTGCTAATTTACACAGTATATGTTATTTATTCCTGCTCATCTTAAAATCACTGCACATCTTTATATCTTAAACTATCCCCTATCTGGTTTTATGAAACAAGAGTGCAAGACCAAATATCATCACCAAACAACTTACACCACATGACCTCCTTGAGAAGAGTATTCGTTATACTAACAAGACGAAAATAAACCATATATTCTATCATATATATAGAATGCCACTATCAGTGTGCATTAAGTGTGTAGAGATGTGCATAGAAAATCATGTTTAGATTGATACCAAGATCAGTCAAATCATTCACTTATAGTCTTGTTAGTCAAGAGGTTAAAGGATGGGTTAACTACTAGTCAGATTTCCAACTGATAACAGTCTTATTTATCTTGCTATCTCCAAAATGAGGTTCTCCATATGCTTGGGTTATATTTAAAAGCCAATATTTGCTTCTTTCTGCTTTCATATGAGAACCTACCTACTATAATTCAAAGGTTTTCTTGACAGCAAGACAACGATCTTGATGAAATAGGAATATCAAATAATATAAGAGAAAAGGTAATTCCATTTGTATAGTACTGTCAATAAGAATTTCAAGAGGGAAGAAATTAAAAAAAGAAAGAAAAGGTAATTCCGTTTTAATTTTATCCTCATGATTGTTCATTTAAATTTAAATTTAAATTAGAGCAGTGGTAAATAGTTTTCAAAAGGCAGCAAGGTTCAGCCGTTCAGGACAATCATTCATTTAAACAAGGAAAAAAGATCTCATACTTAGTTGGTTGTCATGTCACATAAAAAATCTGCCCACTAAATTAGGAGGAAGAAAGTAATGCAACTACAAAATTTGCTTTTTTGTTGCATCAAACTTTGAAATTAAATAATGTTGTAATAAATTCACTTTGGGTTTCAACAAATTGTCACAAAGAAATCATGGGGAAAGAACTGTAAGAACCTGATGGTTTTGAAATTCTCAATGCCTAGAATAGAAAACCCGTGAGATAGACTGCCCTATTGTCACGGGATTAGTCAGCAAAGCCCCATGTGGCACTTATTTCGGTCGAGTAAGCCTAAGAAAGTAAGCAATCACACACAAAAGGCAATAAAGATGGCATACGAATTAGTAAAATGGCACTTTATATTGCAATAAATGGCAAACACAAGCACACAAGTATGTGTCGAGGGGACCTCGTGCTTAACCTTTACACAATTTTGGCACCACTCAACTATCTACCTCCCCCTTAAAGAGTAGCTTAAACTTTTGGTGCTCTGACAAAACATTACATAGGAATATTGAAAAATCATACTGCCTAATTACAATAATGCCATCAGCAATCCCCCCATACAAATTACATATGATGCCCCTCCTAAGACACACTAGATGACACTCTGATGACAAGACAATGGCGTCTCCTGCCGTGAGTGAGGCTTTTACTAACGCGGTGGCGGCAAAGGTGCTATCTTCTTGTTGGAGATGTCACAATCACTTCCGGTGGTAGTGATTGTGGTTGCTGCTGCCAAGCTCTTTGGTGTCCCTTGATGTGGTGTTGGAAGTTGGAGTTGCAAGGTCGAGACTTGCTTCTTCTTCAAATCAGCTGAGGTAATCATGTCATCCATGCAAGGTGATTGTTCATCCATGATCAACAAGGTGTCGAGGTGAGGTGCTGGTGTAGCGTTCGCCTGTGTCAAGAAGTCCATGCCAAGGACGATGTTGAAATCATCCATGTGCGCTACGGAGAGGTCAATCTCCTGATTCTAGGTGCCAACTCGGAGTCTTACTCGATGAGCCATGCCTTCATTGGGTTTCGCACCTTGAAATGGCCAAATTAAGTCTCTTGGCCTCTACAATGGATATAAAATTATGAGTGGCCCCTGTGTCAACTAGTGCCCAGGTTGGCTTCCCACCAAGGCATATGTCCACATACCTCAGTCTTCTCTTGACTGAGGCAGGCCGTTTGGAGGTAGCCCCTTTTTTCACCATGGCATTGAAAAGTTGAAGGGTGCCCACTCTTGGCGTCCGAGTACTCTGCTCCCCATTGCTCTGTTCATCATCACTCAACTTGGCAATGAGGGCATTCAATTTCTCCCGTTTTGGGCAATACTTGGTCAAGTGTTCCTCCCCATAAATGTAGCAAGTGGGAGGATGTGCTGGTTTCCCTTGATATCTGCTGTTATAGGAGTTTTGGCTTCCTTGTGACTGCTTCCCTTTGTGGTACTCGATTGGCTTGTGGTGGAATGGTGGCTTCTCCTTCAGGGTACTTGGCTGTCTATCTCCCCTACTCAAGTTGGTGGCACATGGGCTAGATGGCTTGCTTCCCTCATCATCCGATAGTCTAAGTTCACTAAGTTTTTCGGCCACGGCCATGGCAGAGGCAAAGTCCTGAACATCGCGTTGTTAGAGCTCGAGCTCAGCCTAAGGCTTTAGGCCATCCATGAAGTTAAACAATAAGTCTTTGTTCGACATGTCGGTGACCTCCAAGGTGAGAGATGAAAAATTTTTGACATATTCATGGAGCGAGTCACCCTGCTTGAGTGTCTTCATCTTGCGATGAGCAAGATACTCCATGTTCTTTGGATAGAACTGCCTCTTCAACTCCCGCTTGAAGTCAGCCCGAGTATGGATAGTGCACGTACCACGTTCTATGTCAACACATCTTCTGCGCCACCACAACATAGCGACATCAACCAAATACATAGTAGCAATATGTACCTATGTTGGTTCATCAGTGACATTGACTGTGGCAAGGTACACTGCTTCATTTGCCACAGGAAGTTGTCGAGCTCCCGTGCATTGTGTGCATCTGAATAGGGAGTTGGCTCCCTAATCTTTATGTGGGAAGGAGAGTGCACAAAGGAGGTACTGGCTGGATTGGCAATGGCCCTCTTCAGGATTGCACACTCGGCCTTGAGTTCGTCTAATTGAGCTTGGGAGCTAGAGGAACAAGTGGCTGCTTTCATGGCTGCCCACTCTACTTTCATTTCATTCAACTAGGCTTGAACGACCATTGGGGAGGATATGGCTCTTCTCCATGTTGCCCACTCATTTCTCGTTTCATCGAGTTGGGCTTGGAAATTGTCCAACTTGTCTTGAATGTTGGAGTGGGATGAGCTTCCTTCTTGTTGGCGCGCGGTGCTGCAAATCTCCTTGAGGGTTCCATTGAGTATGTCACAGACCTCATCAACAATGCCACTCATGCGGCCTTCCACCTCTACCATCGCACTCTCGATGGCTTCAACATTTTGGTGGAGCTTGTCTACTCGGTACACATTTCACCCACAGTGGCTTCACAGCATAGCACTCACAGGTCGATGGCAGAATGCTTGTCCGTTGATTTCTCGCACTTGCTTGCCTTTGATGTGCAGGTCTTCGGTGCTTTGTCCTTGACTGTGTCATCAGCGGGTGGGTTGTCAGTCTCATGGGATGAGGAGAGTCCATGCTCGATCTCCTCCATGATGTCCCTATTATGCTTCATGGTGTGGCTTGTGTCGCGGGTCAAATAGTTAGGAATGAGCTCCTACTTTGATACCAACTATCACGGGGCTAGTCGACAAGGCCTTGTGCGACACTCGTTTGGGTTGAGTAAGCCTAAGAAAGCAAGCAATCACACACAAAAGGCAACCAAATTAGTAAAAATGCACTTTATATTGTAATAGATGGCAAGCACAAGCACACAAGTATGTGTCGAGGGGACCTCGTGCCTAACCTTTACATGGTCTTGGCACCACTCAACTACCTACCTCACTTCAAAGAGTAGATTAAGCTTTTGGTGTTATGACAAAACATTATATAGGAATATTGAAAAATCACACTGCTTGATTACAATAATGCCATCGGCAATCCCCCCATACAAAATACATATGATGCCCCACCCAAGGCACACTAGATAACACTGTCAAGACATGGGTGCAAGGAAGGCACTTGATGGCGCGGCAAAAGGGGCACTTGTGACACTATGGAGTACGGAGTCTACTTAGCCCTAGTTGTGTTGAAAATAACAAATGAACAAATTAATACAAATGAGTAGTGGTTTTATTTTTTCAGCTTCAGCCATGAGACAAAAATCATTTTGTCCAGTTAATCTATAAAGTACATAACCTGGATATAAGATGAGTAATAGTTCAATAGTTCATCATGCCTGCTCGTCAAATACATTCCAGGCCTTGAGGAGTTAACACGAGGGATTTCAGATGAGGCTGCAACTGGAGTCCTTTTCCTTGATCCGAGAACTAACTGTAATCTTTTCTTGTCATCGTAGCTTGATGCAAATTATTAGTATAATGGAGTAACACCACTAAGCAGAAGCAAATTCTTTAGGAAGGAAAAGTAAAGGTTCATTATGCATACCAAATACTTTGGTAGTCAATTTAACAGGCCTCATTTCTTCTCCAAATCTGCAAAGAGGTGTTACAAGGATAAAATAAAAATTAAATGGATTCTAAAGTGAAGAACCAAGAATTGTGATTAGTCAGCAATGACAACATCAAGATCAAAGAGTACCTTTTGATCCCATAAGTCTGGAACCATAAGCCATTCAGCTGCAGTGATCAATATGGGGCAAGAAACACTTAAAAATTTATCAAGTTGTGATCATTTCAGATGAAGTAATACAATATACACCTCATGCTATTTTTGTTACAAACACTTAAATATTACCAAATATAAAAATTTAACAAGGTCTTCAATATTTGGGATAGTGGCAGAAACAGCAAGCAAGGGAACATGGGCCAAAGGACTTGATTTCATTTCGGGGTTGCATGCGAGCTTCTTTATTCTACTAACAATTGTGACACGAGGTTAGGTGAATGGCGATTGTCTGAATCATTAGGAGGTTACCTGAATGGCGATTATCTGAATCATTAGGGGGCCGCCCGCCAGCAACCGACCGATTACCAAAGGTCGCCAGCAACCGATTACAAACGAGGCTTTTCTGTTCTTCATTTCATATCTCACGGACATATAACTGTTATTTTCTTTGGTAACGAGGGCTTTCTTATAATGATAAACTGGATGAAGTAAATTTCGAGGAAGATGCAACGAAGCTAATCCCACGACCGACGGCACCAGTCTAATCGAGAAAACACTAACGGAAACGTAGATCCCGTAGTTCTGTAATAGCACTACTATAAATGGCGAATGCTTGGGCTAGATTAGAATCTGAGGTTGAAGTCGGACTAGAACTACAGAAGTACAAATGGCAAGTGTTCTGAAGACAATGCTTGGAGCAAATGTAGCCCTGGCACTTGGGATTGGAGCCATCTATTTCCTATTTCCAGTATCACCTGGAATTCCTAAATCGGCTCATTTTTTTTATGATTTGCATTCTGTCGTTGGCCTTATCATGTAACATCCTCGGGCTTCTCCTACTAGACAAAGGCAAGTTATTGTTAGCCAATGCCGTGGGGAAACTGGGGGCCATCTTAACCATGGCCGATGTATTTACTTTGTTGGGTTGCATTTTGCCGTTACGACTTGTTTGGCTTCCGGCTCTCTGTTTCCTCTCCTGTCTAGGCCTACTACTACTGCCCAACTCCTTAACCGGATCTCCTCGTGTCACGGGCACAAATCAAACACGCGGATGGGGGCCAAGGCGTGTGATTACCGTTTTTGAGAGCATTCACAGAATGGGACCAAATCATGCACTTACCACCACCGTATATGGGCGCATTTATAGAGTAGAGGAAAATGATCTTCCCGTGTAAAAACACTCTGGAATATACGATATCCATCAGATAAATCTCTCTCTCGTAGTTTTTCGTTTCTTTTCCCTTTTTTTCTTGTATAATCAAGTTAGTGAAATCTTTGGGTTTTATGTTTTAACTGCTCCCCAGTCGCCCGATGCATTGTTTTCCCCGTTAGTTTGGAGGGGAATCATCTTACTTGGCTTTGTAATGTTTATGTTCTCTAATCTGTACTCTGTGTATGTTCATCAAATTGCTTTTATTGCCAGAATATCGTGTCTCTCTCATGTTTGTTTTCGTTTTGGTTGCTTAATTTTGAAAAGGAATCATGATGGTTTCATGGATTTGGTTCCTCAGGAAGTAGTTTATGATGTTGGCTGCTCTCTGGGCTTGGTAAGACTGTCGATGCGTCTGTAAGATTATTGACATATATGCCACCAAATCATGCTATCAGGTAATTCAATTTTCTCCTTCTTCTCTGGAATTTACCGTCTTTTTTGTTATGTTTCTTCTACCTGAAAGGGTGAAGGGATGGGACATGAATTTAATAACTTTGGTGTTTTCCTCTTTCTTCAAATCTTCTGCTCACTTTGGATATTTGCAAGACCATGATGGTTTAACTGCGTAAGGCAATCCAAGTTAAAGATAATCTGTTTTACCAAAATTGAATGGTCCTTGTTCAATTGTCGCAGCTGAGGCATCTGACAAGGATGCATTAGGTTCCTTTGTTTTGGACGATTACAGAAGGCCTTAACCCAGCCTCCATGATACTTAGAGCGGTGGGTATGAACTTGATTAAGTTTTTTTTCCCTTTTTTTTTTCTTAAATTGGTTTATATTTGATATATACTGTTGCAATATTAATGAATGTTTTATGTGCTGCAGTAAGTAACTTCAATTGCGGTATAACCTCAGTAGAGATGCAGAAGATCACAGAAGGGTTCCTTAATTTCCTAGTTACAAAGATATTGTTGTGAATTTGAACTCTGTTTGGATGATAAGATGATCTCGATTATAATTATGTCCCTGATTGTTCCTTTTCAATCTTCACCATACCAGAGCATCTTGTTGCCATTAATATTTCAGGTTTGGTTGGAGTAATTCTCCAAGGTTCTAATTCCTCCCTCCACACACACACATACACACATATGATGCACTTTGTTGGTGATTTCTACTTTTCTTTGACTTGTATAAGATGACTGTATAGACAGAAACACTCTGTTGCAGCAGTCTTGGGCAATCAAAGAGGTATCTGTCCATGAGACCAGAGCGTAGTAGAGGTGAGCATGCTCAGATGGATGCATGACAAGACCAGAAAAGATAGAATTAGAAACATGTGCATGTTTCAAAATTTAGCAGTATATCCAAAAGATGAAAATTTGAGGGAAAATAAACAAAGAAGGTTAGGGAATCTGCATGGTAGACCCACTATTCAAGGGATGATTTGATACAAGTTGAGTGTTCTAGAAAGCCCAAGGGAAGGCTGAAAAGTAAATCCCTGCATGGATTTGGCTATTGAAAAAACATCTGAGAATTCACAGTATAACCGAGGATATGCCCTTGATAGAATGAAATTTAGCTCACCTCAGATTGTTGATGCTTGTTTCTGCTTATTTGTCCTTAATTCTTAATTGGGTTGTTATAATTAATATGAGGCTTATAATTTAGGTAATAAAGACCCCAGGTTTCTATTCATTTCCTTCTACCTTGGATGGATTATCAGCAAACTTGGAGGAATTGTGCTTTTTTGTAGTTATGAACAGGTATAACAACATGTTGCTTTACACTTTCTTTTCCTTTTTCCTTGCTCAGAGAATATAAAATCCTCAATTGGTTTCTACATGATTGACATTTGACAAAACTATTTGCCCTTCGGTGCTGTTTTTGATGTCTTAAAATTCTCATAATGGATTTTGAGTTATTAGGTTGTCATATTTTCTGGTTGACTAGACTCCTAATCTGTACTTTTGCTGCCACCCCATGTGCTTTGCTTCAGTTATGTATCAATCTGAAATGGAAAGACAGTGTAGATGCTTTTGAACTTTTATCCATGTAGAACGAAAGAAAACTGCAATGCTTGAAAGTTAAGAATCTTAATAATGTCATGTATATTTGCAGTGATTGGCCTTGTAGCATATCACTTTTGTTCATCGGAAGCTGAAAGCAATGTATTTTATTTCTTATAGTAAATCCTGGCAATACATTGTCCTCTTATGCCCCATTGTGGCTTATGTCAGTATTAAATTATAGAACAGTAACGGTTCTGATTAATATTATTAATACTTCAATGCTTGAAGATGTACTCGAGGGTATGGTGATTTTAAATGGACAATATACATAAGAAAGATGAATTCAGTAATGATTACTCTTCAAGCTAATAACTTTCCTTTGTTGTAATGTGTACTTATAGCCACAGTGGTATTTTTTCCATTTGTTACATTTTATGAACTGATTGGTTACTAAAAAACTTAGACCTCTCTTGACATTTCCCATAAATACTAAAACCTTCCCTCCCTTCTCAAAAAGGACACAAAGACCTCCTCTCTGTTAATCCATCAAGATCCGTTGGAATGTGACATCATGTATGGTTGAAATTTTTCCAAAAAAGTCAATCTACCCCTTAATTTCAGACTTTTGTTGAAACAAGATGCATGTCAAACCAAAAGATTCTTCCTACCTCTAAGAAATCTATGTAGATGATGCTTTTGAACATGAGCTTAGTCCTTTTACTGGCCTTTGGAAGGTTAGAGCATGTCTGCTCTAAATCCAGAGTGTAAGTTTGAAGAGCCAGCTGTTTCAGGAAACAACCTTTGGAAGGTTAATGCGCATCCATTTACTGCAAGTTCATTCGTGTGTGTCTTCAAAACTGAAACATTTTGATGTGGGGCATTAGATGCTTCATATGTAGTTAAGATTCTTCTTTGCTCTGAGGATTTCTTATCCTAGGTCCATGGATCAGTATGGATGAGTGTGAGAAAGATGAGAATATTGGAGAGGGGACCTACGGTAGGCTTATGACTGTTTGACAAATGAAACTATACCTCAAAAAAAATCCAACTGGAACAGGAAGGAGTTCCAAGCACTGCAATAAGAGAAATATCCCTTCTGAAAGAAATGAAGCAAGTAAACATAGTCAGGTTGCAGGATGTAATGCACAGTCAAAATCGGTTCCATCTAGCTTTTGAATATCTGAAACTAGACTTAAAGAAACACATGGATTCTAGTGCAGAGCTTGCAAATGATCCACATTTAATTCAACTGTTTCTGTATTAAATTCTGTGGAATTTTGTATTGCCATTCCCATAGAGTTCTACACTGACATTTGAAACCTTAGAATTTGCTTATAGATCATTGTACCATTACTTTGAAGTTTGTAGACTTTGGATTATCCAGGGCATTTTGTATTCCTATGAGGACATTTAATTGTGAGGTTATAACACTGGTATAGGGCACCAAAGGTCCCACTTGGTTCCTGTCATTTATCTACACTTGATGATGGGTGTTTTGTGGGTTGTATATTTGCTGAGATGATGAACTAGAGACCTTTATTCCCTGGGTACTCTGAGATTGATGTATTATTCAAGATTTCTAAATATTTCAGTGCTCCAAATGAAGAAACATGGCCTGGAGTGACCTCATTACCTTATTTCAAGTTTACATTCCCAAGTGCCCTCCTAAAGATCTTGCAACTGTGGTCTCAAACCTCAAACCAGATGGAGTTGATCTTCTAAAATGCTCTGCCTGGATTTGAGCAGAAGAATTATTACACAGAATGCACTTGAGCATGAATAATTTAAGGATCTTATTGGGTATGTTGACATAAGTAGCGATTCATGGGGTTTGATTGTGTGAAAATTAGTGCTTTCTTTCAATGTATTCTTTTCTTTTCTTTTCTTTTCTTTATTTTGATTCAAGACACATTGAATCATAGCTCGAGTCTGCAATCATGGAGTTATGGTCTCTGTTGGGAATTTCATTTCTCAAAGAAATACTGTGTAAATGGTATTTCACTTATGATATGTTTACAAGTGGATTTTCATGCTTAAAAAAAAAAAGACAAGAGTCTACAAAACTCAAACCAGGTTATGTTGTGTTTACACTGTGTTCACTTTTTTTCCCGGGTATATTTGTCATTTTACTCCATAGACGTAATGGTTAAAGCATTTGATAGGGGAGGGCTTAGATTTTTTGACTCCAGCCATAGATTTTTTGACTCCCAACTTCTCTTCTCTCTTCCCTCCTCACTTTTTTCTCTTCAAATCCTATGCAGGTTTAGATGGTATCAGAGTGGGGACAGTATCTGATCAAACCTCTTATTTGTTCCTTCACGTCTCATGGACCCAGTCTTTCCTGTTTTGGTTGGTGGTTTCAAGAAGTGCCCTCAAGCTGACCTGAAGCTATTTTTCTCCTCATTTTTCTTTCTTCCTTGGTTGTAAAACTAAGTGACATCTATTCTTTGGTAGCTGGCTGATTGGACTGGAGGTATAAGGGGTTGTAAGCCCTCTTATTTGCTCCTAGTGGATCGTGGGTGGGACTTGTTGGACTGCAAAAGTGTATGCCAATTGCAGCCTAAAAGCATCTTGGTGCAGGATGTTGAGGGCCCGGGAATAGGATCTCGTCACGGGTCGGTCCACGGGGAAAACCTCCTATTTTCCCTTGTTCCTTCCTGCTCGTGATGAACCTATCTTGGCGCCTTCGGTGATTTGTCCAAGAGATCACCAACTCTCCTAACTCACTCTTGACTGAATAATTTGATATCTCATTTAATAATGGGGTCTCCTTAAATAGGAGATTAC